AGGGCGGAGAGAAGGGCGGAGAGAAGGGGGGAGAGAAGGGGGGAGAGAAGGGGGGAGAGAAGGGAGGAGAGAGAGCACGGAGGGCAGAGGGAGAGAGCGCGGAGAAAATCGGAGAGAAAGCAGAAAGAGAAATAAGACAGGAGATAAAAGGTGGAAGGTATGAGGGAGGAGAGAAGAATCAATTATGTTGCAAGCTGAAGAAATAGAAAAACTCTTATCAACAATTTTCAGAACAGCTGCATGTTGAATAATGTCAACTATTTTCAGAATATATGCTGAAAAAGGTATAAACATTGTTTTACAGATTTCAAGACAAAAATGACAAACCATTCAAGAAAAATAAGAAGTCCACCAAATGTGTCTCCCATTGAAACACACATTCATTACATTAGGACAAGCACAATCAACTTACTTCCAATTCAGATTAAAATAATTTCAATTATGTACATGTGTAAGTCCTACTTATGTAGACAAATTAATGACATATTTATGAAAAAATAAAAAATCAATTCTTTAATAACAGATCCCAAAGGTTAGTTTTTATATTATGTATACAAATAACTGCAGGTTAGGCATACATTTAGCTAAGCACCACTTAGACATTAAATTTCTCCATGCTCGATAACAACTTGTGTTAATGAGACAGTTACCTAAATTAATGCAGGATTCCTATGTTAATACAAATTTTTTTATTACAGAAAATCCTAAAAAGTGTCAATCAATTTATCACCTATGGTAATAGAATTTCTTGTATGGTAAAAGACAATTAGCCCTTTATCTCCTTCTGACAGACTATTAATATTTCACAGTTGCCTCCCTTTCTTCCTTCTGTATTTTCATCCATTCCGATACTATTGTTTGATTTTTCCTTATTGCTCCTTGAGGGGTTTCCTTGTACTACTACAAAATAATACATTTCATTCTTTTCGGTGCCAAGTATGAAGTACAGAGAAACTATAATGAGGTTGATGATTCACTTTTGAAATAGAGTGTGGAAGATAAAAGCAGGAACCACAAAATTCAGTGGAAGGTAGTTCAACTTAAAAGATTTTAAAATTCTTTTCTTGCCTTCCTACATCTCCTACAATTTTAAAAGGTGTTGGTTCAGGCAACTTCAATATTTATCTAAAAAGTGCCAAAAACGATGCCCAAATTCCTCCTTCCCTATTCCTAGTATTCCTTCCACTTACACAAATTAGAGCAGGAGGTCTATTAACATGGTAGGAAGCTGTAAGTCAAAACCTAGTTCTAACCAATAATGAAATTGGGCAAAAAAGTAAAGAAATACAAAGAAAGAAGAAAGGGAGAATAAAGAAAGAAAAAACAGAAAAAGAATTAAATGCCTCCACAAATGAAAGGTGTTCTGACAAGAAATGTTTTGTTTTCAAAACCTAAATAAACATGCAGATCAGAAACATTAAAGACATGAAATGCAGAAAAATATTTGTTGTATAATTATACTACAATTTCCCTAACTCTGCTCCTCGCAGATATCAGCTGTTGATAGTTCCATCTAATCAAGAGCTTCAATGTCACCATACTGACGTTGCTATGGTGAGATTCAAATTCCAGATTGAATGAAAATGTCAACAGCTGATACCTGCCAAGGGCAGAGTTGGGAAAATCACAGTATAGTAACAAATATTTAATGAAGATTACTACTTTATGAATTTTTTCTTTCTTGCTTTCAAAATACTATTAATGAACAATGAAAATTACACAAAAATGTTCTTTGAAAAGATTATTCTTTTTGTTCACTTCTATGCATTTGTTGAATGATTTTCTCATATGTTTTTAAATTTAAATGTACTTCTTAATACAAACACAAAATTCACACTCTTTATTGGTACCATCCATTGAAAAAATAAACAGACAATTCTCATAAATAGTACTCTTTCTTTAAAACCTGATCCAGTGTTGTTTGGAAGGTGGGAAGAAGGGAATTTACTATTTTACTGAGAAAAATGTCAGTTGGCAAATTCATTTAATGCAAGTTGAAGCTGAGGAAATATTCAATTGCAGATAATTATTGAAAAGGGGTTACAACTGCTGAATCGCATACAGTCAGTGAGAGCTAGAGTATGTGTGAGGGCACGAATGTGAGAGAATGTGTGTGCACCAAATATATGCTTGCAAGATGTGTGTGAATGAAATTGAAAACACATTTGTTGTGTGTATATAGTAATATCTATAAGTAGTGAAAATAAGATGTCTTTTCTGATCAATGTCAAAATACACACAAGATGCACTAAAATGAATAGTGCCTGCTAGAGGTAGTGTCGTAACTAAAATGATTATCCAAAGAAGCAAGGCAGTTGTCAGGAAGTGGTATATAAAGGTATATAAACTAGTGGGGCTATAATAACACCTACTTTCTTACATTATTTCTAACTTTTCCAATTTTCTAATATTCAGAATGTTCAATGAAAATGAGACCGGTTCTATTTTTTGAAGCATCTTCTAATCTACATCAGAAAATAATTTGAAGAAAACATTTGAAGCCATTTTTGAGAAATTGCATTAATTTCAACCAGAAATTATATAAATACAATTTGTATTTTTCAAAAATTTCTTCCATCACCTTACTAAAAAATCTAAATTTTTAAAGAGGTATCTTGAAATAAGTACAATGTTTTGCAAATACAAGTACAAGTATTTTTTACATAATTTTCTATGAAATATAGGCAATTTTTAAACAATTATTTTCAAACATGGCTCCAAATTTTTTCTTTAAATTTTTTCCTAGAATTTCCCCCTTTTTCCTCAAAGAACGTAAAAAAAATTGCGCAGGTGTCATTTTCAACAAACACAATGTATTTTCAAAAATTGCAAAAAACAGGTAATATTACAAAACTACAATACTGATAACATTTTTTTCATTAATGAAATCTGCTTTCCAAAGACCATCTCCAAATAAAGGCATGTAGAATTTTTGAAAATATGTGTAATTTTTGCATACAATAAAGGCAATTAAATATATTTCCAAAAATTGCTCCAAATTTTTTTCTTTCAACTTCTTTTTCTTAACAAAGTAAACAAAATTGCATAAGACTCATTTTCAGGAAACTCAGTTTTTGAAAATTGCATAAAGAAACATTGCAAAAGTAAAATATCAATAATTAAACAGTTTTCTTAAAGAAATCAGTTACAAAAAATTAATCCATAAATAAGGTTATGTACATTTTTTTAAATGAAATTTTGGGTAATTTTTCCTTGAATGCTTGCTGCCTTTTTTTCTTTCTAAAACAGCTTCAATATTTTTCTTCAGATAGCATACAGGATGCTTAGCAAAATTGTGCAGGTCTTATTTTCATTGAACTCTGAATTTTTGAAAATTTCAAAAGTTACTTGTCTGAGAGAGTATAGGTTGTTGTGGCGCCACTAGTTTATGCAACATGAACGAATACTATATAAAAAGAAATAACAAATTTCAAACACGGTTCACTTATTCTGTCCATTACTGTTGGAAAAATGTGAAGTCAGAAAAGAGTATAGAATGTATAGTGTCATGTTTATTGATTCAGTTTCATGCAACACACATACTATTTAGCTATTGAATACATTGAATATATATATTCCAGCAATTCCCATACTAAGTATCCATAACAAACCCGGTAAAATAGCTTGGAACAGCATCATCAAACCCAGCTACAACACAAACACAAGCATAAGGCATCATTGATACATTATTACCAAGGCTATTTGTGAGATGCGACTCATCCTTCTGGAAGATGTTGATAGACTACGTTTCAAAGGGGCCATATCTTGGTCCCAAAGCTGTAAACAGGATTGCTTTGTATCACATGATGAGTTTTAGCTACATTACCCTTTACAGTGCACCTATCATTGATATAAAGTTCATTATTAAACAGAAATTGTTCTCTTCTGGAGTAGCATTTAGTAACAATATTTTAGGACATGATGTAAATGATAAAAATTCCTCTTGGAACTGGAGAAAAGTTAGGCATATAGTTGAATAAACTCAAATTGTAGCTCATTAGAAATATAAAAAAACTACATGGCTCTCTCCAAATTATAAGGGTTTGCACACAAAATTTATTAGCTCCCAATCAATAGTTAGAAGAAGGGCCTAGATTCTTAGGTTTTTAACGAATTTACTCCTCTCTTCTTAATGACTGTTTTAATACACATTACCATTTAAATAATTCTTTAGCCAATTACGTGAATATGGACAGATCCAAATGAACATTTGGAGGGTGGGAGATCATATATTTTTGTTAAATAATAAACATACTTCTTCTAATATTATATATTATTTTTGTAGTGTATATATGATAAAACACAATATTATTTTTTAAATAATTACATAATTAAAACATAAATATTAAATCAAATTTGGAATCAATTCAGGAAGGTAACAAACAAGAATTTTAGGCGGTAGGGGGCGCATAGCCCTACTTTGGTACGCCACTGTACGTGAATTCTATAGATCCAAAAATGGTTTACGTTCTTAAGAAAGACTAAATCAGAATTTGTTCAAAAAATATGTGAAGAAACATGCCAAGAAAACTCATTTTGGTTCAGTGGAATTTTGGATCTATAGAATCCTGGAATCAGTGACCTGGAATCAGTGGCCTGGATTCATCATCTAACATTGCCAACTTTATTTAAGCTAATTGCATTAATTACTAATCTCAGTTTAAAAATTGAAAGGTTCATGTCTCTATTGAACAAGGGAAAATACTATGGGCTGTACGTGATGTATTCTCATCAAAAGACTTGAAAATTCAACAAAATCCAGGTTATCTCACAATGAACGACACAAACACAGTTCTTCTAGAATAAGAAATATCTGGAGAATGCCTTGGAGACCAAGAGTAGTGGCATCTGTGAAATAAAGACCATTGTCTTCATGTTGCTTTGAGGGAACCATTTCTCAATTCAGCTGTGTTTCGAGACAATAGGACGTCATTCACAGAATTATTTTCTGACTGTATGCACTGTTTATTGCAACAGTGGAACTTAAAAAAAAGTGAATTTTTGCTTTTGATTCTAATTTTCAAGTGACTAAGATTTTTTTCTTGTGCTTTTTTTTATGAAAAACCTTTTACAAGTTCAGAAGTAAAAACATTCAATAAAATTAGTTTGTACTTTACACTTGCATTTTATTGAAATTATTGTTCAGACTAATAAGATTAAAGAAAAATAAATAAAAGAAAAGAAAAAATTAAAAGAAAAAATAATAAAATGGGTTAAATTGCCTTTTCAGAAAACCTAAAATGACATTTATGAAATCCTAAAAATCCAGGCCCTAGTTATGAGTTAATGTTTAAATGTAAATTTTTACATGAACAAGATTTTAAACTGGAGAAAATACAATTAACTTCAATTGAAAAGTGAAGAGCTACACATACAAACAAACTGAAATATGTTCAAATTGAAAAAACATAGCTAACAATTTACCAAAATGACCCAAACATTCTTTTCCACTCTCAAATTTATTATCACATCAGAAAAGAGTAATTAAAAATAGCAATTATTCAGCTCTACAGTCAGAACCTTTAAATAACACTAAAATCTGTGAAAAACTTACCAATACTTGAAAAAAGGGATGCTCCAAGGCCTCTTTGATGGTAATCCGTTGCTTTGGATCCACTACGAGTAACCTTCGAATAAGGTCTTTGGGAGGCTCTACAAGTAAGAGCCCAACAATAGGTAAATTATCAATTATTTAAAATTATTTACTCTATGATGACAATAATAATAATAATAATAATAATAATAATAATAATAATAATAATAATAATAATAATTGTAATTATAGCATGTGTATGAATTAATAATAATAATAATAATTATTATTATTATTAATTCATACACATAATAATTATTATTATTATTATTATTATTATTATTATTATTATTATTATTATTATTAATTCATACACATGCTATAATTATTGAGCACATACATAATACATTCAATGACAAACATTATGTGACATATTAAATAATGGCCAAAATTATGAACTACAGTAGAACCCTTCACAACCGTCACCCACAGATTCGGGACATAGACATAAAACACAAATAAATGAGGGCACAAAGTATAACTTACTACTATTTATATTGATTATGTACAATGTGTATTAATATTCATACATACAATTCACACTAATTACATTATATTGATGAACTACAACTTTGAACAAGGATCGACATCAAATACGGGATAATTTGATAGAAAACAAGGGGGATGTTTATCCCGAGGCAGATATGACAGGTTCTAAGGTATTACATTTCCTAGAACATCACTTCCCGCAATTTGTTGCAAGGAACACAGAAAATATGATATGATATCCTGCGAAAATACATGAAACAAAGTGTAGTATATTACAATCTTGATTTCAATTGAAAATAGAAGTACCATGGTATGGTGTAGAGGTGGAGTAATACATAATTGTTTTTACTATAGAACAGTCTACAAATGTTTGTATCCTACATTGTGTGTTTATTTTATATTTGAAAATATTCCTTCACTAATACAGTGCTTACAGAAAACATCAATGACTGATGAAGTTTAAAAAATTGAAATATATTTTCTTAAAAGTCCTCTCTTGACCAAGATAAATAATCTAAATAGTTATAAAAGTCTTAATTAAATTAATTTATTATAATATAATATTATATATAATAATATTATAATAATATATTAATTATAATTTATGACAAAAACAGATTAAGATTTTATGCACTAATGCTTTCTCTTTATGTGACAATAATTTGTTAATTTTCACAAGACAAATAAAATCTGCTAAATCTCAATGAGCACTTTTTTAATCCATTATCACTCTGATAATGTAAGTGAAGTTTAAAAATAATATTTAAATATTGTATATATTCTCAAATAAAATGATGATCAAAGAGATGCAAACAAATTTTTATCAACAATGTGTTTCTGATAGCAAAAACAACAAAATTAATATTAGTTTACATTGTTAAAATGCAGAATAGAATAGAATAAATATGTTTTAGTTTTCATCGTTGTAATGGATAATCTGTTAAAGAAAGTCAATATGACACTACTCTTTACATTTCTCAACCATGAGAAATACTCCATCTTTTAAGAATCACATAACAAACTGCCACCAAACAGCACCAATTAAATTAATTCCATTCCTACCATCATTCATCGCTTAATAGTAACTCCACTTGCAATAAGTTAGCTTTGATAACAGAATGACAATTTGAGGTAAGAGGTGTTGCATGAGGATTACCAATGATCTAGATTCTGAACATTCAAATTATTGATGTTGTTCTGTGTATATCAAAGGAAGATCCTGCTCCCGAAGGAAAAGCAATACTAAGTAAAAAAAAAAAATGATGTTGACTAAATGCATTTTGGGATGGATGTTCATGCCAAAGTTTGCTTCCTTCCATTCATGAATTCTCATTAATTTGTAAGAAATTGGAAATAGAAATGAAGTAACAACTTACTAATATGTTTTAAGAGATAATTGTCCAAAGTATTGTAAAGAATGTTGAACACATTATTTGTTCAAGAGGATACAGCAGAAATGTTAGTAACTCGGTTAAATTTTGGACAGTATTTTTAAAACACAAAATTTTTAAAAAGACATCAATAAAAATAATTTTAATTCATTAACAAACTTTCCAAATTGCAAATATTTTTGAAGCAATAGAAATTCAATGAAAGCATGTCAATAAAATACACATTTGAAAATTTAAAAACCAAAAAAACCCATCTTGGGTAAATTTAAATAGTTTGTATTACGAAAAATCAAAATAGTGTCACATTACTGTTATTTAAGTGCTTATTATCAAAAGTTCCAAAAAAAAAATTTTATTATTCAGATAACATTATTTACATCTCCAAGAATACACTAGTTGCTACAAAATTATTGAATAAACTCACCAGTGATATCTGCCCACTCAGGTGATGTAAACGAGTATTTTCCTTCCATGATGTTTCTCAACATCACCATTTGCTTTCGATGCCAAAATGGGGGACAGCCAACCAAACTGCAAAAGATACAAATAATTCATACTGAGAATTCTGGCTACAAAGATTTCAGTTCTAACATCCTTATGAACTATAATTTATATTTTGGACCCAAATCAACAGAATGTTCCCCAGTTAAAAAAACTCACTGATCACATTAAACATTCTCTGGAAAAGACAAAGAGAAAATGGTAATATAAAAATAATTATCTTTCTTGTTCATGAAAGAAATATTAAACATCATAACAAAATAAAGTAAGTCAAAATTTTAAACATCAATCCCATTTGTTCAAAAAATACTTACAGTGTATACATTATCACACCACAAGCCCATCTGAAAAAAGAGAGTAGTGTTACAAACAAATGTGCAACAAAAATGACCCAAAAAGACATAATAGGAAAAAATAAATGAAATAAAAGTGCTTTCTCCTTAATTTCTTCATTAAAAAAAGAATTCTAAACATTGGAGCAATAATTCAATAGGTACAAAATTGGAGTTAACATAAAAATTCCTTATTTCCAAATACTTCAAATTTCCTTCCATCTGTACTATTTCTAGTGGATTAATTTTTAGATCTATGAAAACGTCCCCTGTAATACTACCATTATTTCCTTTTAGATATGCGCAAAAGAATTCACTTGCAAACCCATTTAATACTACATTTGCCTTCAAGAAATAATATGTAATACATTTCATTATAAACAGAGATTTTTGACAATGTGGCAAACACATAGTTAACTTTTGAAAATATATTTTATTATTTTTCTCATAATTTGCTTTCAAATTATCTAATTTTTCAAATTTCAATATTTCCAAATTTTTATTAATTAGAAGAACATTTATTCAATACTCTTAAGAAACTTTACAATTAACAGCTCTTTCTTCTGATAAGTATTAACAAAATTGAAATGAATAAAGGGAAAATTTTACAAATGATAGCACATGCCAAAGAACTACAAAAAGTTATTCAACAAGGCAAGAAAGCATGCATATGTGTACTCATGCATGAATTATGCAAAAACACATACCAGAAAATTATCAGAAAAACAAAAAGCAATAGTGAGAAATATTCCTGCAGAACATTAACTATGTTTTTTTATTATTTAGTGCTTTTAAGTTTCTTTCCCACCACATCTTTAGTTCTCTTTCATTTTTGAAACAAACTAATGACCTCCCGAAATGTAGTGACAAAAACAAAAATTGATTGTAACATATTTCCATTACAAAATTATATGTAAATATAAATGCAAAAAAGTTTCATTAGATTTCCAGGGCCGCAATCCCAAGCTAAAGTATGCACTTATGCAAGTTTTAATTGAAGAAACTTATTACTACTTATTAACGTATTACTTACAACTATATTATCAACTTCAATTATTAACAACTCTAATATTTCCATATATTTTATACTAAAAATAATATATTAATAAATAAAATATTTAACTAATATCGTTAATTGTATTTATATTATGCTTTGGAACAATGAAGTCCTTCAACTTCTTTTTCATTATTTTCTGGTGAAGAAAAAAAAATCTGATCGACATCAAAAAACATTAATTATACATCTCTGTACTGTACAAGAAAATAATACATATTCATTTATAAACCAAAATATTAATGAAGGTCAAATGGAATAGAGAATGGATGTGACAAAAATTAATCATATCTAAAACTTGGAATAGAAATAGTTATAAAAAATTCTTTGAGCAATTTTTTCTCTCTCTAAATTCATAGGATGTTTTTAAATAGAGTTTGGTCACTCATTTACTATGGATAATTAACAGCCAATACAATGTCTAGAAGCCGAAAGTTTGTTTCTTCAATAATTAAATATTTTAGAAGACCAATATTAAACAAATGTTAACAAACAAATTCATCTATCAAGGCTAATGACCCTGTTATTTCAAATTTTTAAATGAAAATCAGAATACTGTCATGAAAGCTAATAGTGTCTACAAAATCTGAATCTCTTTCTATTTTTTCAATAGAATATGATAACCTTCAATATTTACTGACAATTTAAAAACACAAAATATTCTTGTTTAGCCAGCACTCTGAAATGACCTCTTTGTAGCATTCAGAAAATTGTACATCTTAAGAGCAGCCCACATTTTATTTTTAACCCATTTCTAATGTCAGATACACTCTACATTTCATCAAAATATTTAAACTGGGTACTACTGAGAAAACCTAACAAGAGTTTTTAACAGTTCTTTGTGATAATTCAAAAACATAATAATGCTGAATTAAGGTTGTAAAACAAAAACTTCTTCAAACAGACATTTTAGATACAAGCTATGATTATTGTAATAGCACAAGCTAGAAAAACCTTTAATACAACAGAATAATAGTTGGTTAAAAGAACAGGATTAATTTTCCTGTGCTTTTTGTTTGCACATATTTTGTATTATCGCACTCAATGTAGATAAGTAACATTCAAGTGAATAATTTTTGCAACTCTCTATACAGTTGCAGGTAGGGCAAGACCACACAGTAATTCATTTTTAAATTGAAATTAGGAAATACCCAGCATGTCCAATTATAAATGTTTCTCTATAATTTAGGACTTACAGAAGGATCATTTGTAACTGCTAACATCTACAATTTTTGCTATCAGACTACACTTTTAAGTATTATTTCAGGATTCTCTAAATGTATCTGCAACACACTAGTCTTAAAAGTATCATGGCCATAACTTGCAATCAAACTCTGGGGGAGCAAGAGAAGAAGTTATTCAAAGCAAACATTAAAATGTTTAGCATTTTTTATTAATTTATCTATAAAGTTTTTAGAAGATTGTGAAAATTTACTAAAGCTCAAAATATGGGGAGAAGGGTTGCCCTTCTTAGTTATGCTTATGTTAAAAGGGACTGAAATTCTTTTCAAGTTATGCAATCTGAAAATGTTTCCCAACCCATTAGACACTTAACTCACTTGTTACTACAGTAGAACCTGTCAGTTCCTTCAAAATATTTCTGTTTTGGCAGGTTTCTGTCTAATAGAGAGTTGCCAAAAACTTACCATATAACTTAAGTCTAATACTTTCAATATTATTTTGTTAGTTTAACAAAATAAAGCATAATTTATTAATAAAAATATTGCAGGAAATAAAAAAGTTAAGGAAAATATAGGACAAGCTTTTATTCCACACTTTCTTCTGTAGCGCAAGTGTTTTGCACTTATGTTTTAAAGACGTTTTGATACACTAGCACACAGCCTTCCAACACTATCCTACGAACATTCACTAAATTGTGTGGTCTACACCTTGTCAACACTATGACTGCTACGTTAGGTTTGATGACAAGAGAGCCTTCCTGAGATTCAGTTGTTGACTTAAGGAAATTTGGTGAAGCTTTTGAGAATTGAATGGGGTGTGGACAACTAACATTAAGAATTCAGAGTGACAGCGACAAAGTCACACTTTGCGAGTGACAATGACAATCACACCAAGGCATGAGAAAGTTACAGTGAATCAGTTGAGAAATTTGCCAAAGGTTTGCTGACAGCAGGTATAAGAGGAAAAACTTGTCACTCACTCAATTGCCTCAGGTTTACTTTTACAGGATACACATTTTAGAAAAATCCTTCTTAGTCAATTAATAATCTCTTTACATTGTCAAAAAAATATTATATTTCTACATTAGAGAGGTTTCCGGCTTATGGAGGTAATTTTCACATATAAAATTGTTCCGTTCCGAGATTTTTTTGCCCGGGATAACAGGTTTCCATCTTACAGTGGTTCCATTTTAGACAGGTTTTACTGTATTAATTGTAATTTATAAGATACAAATTTTAAAATTTAAATTGGTTGTTACTATTACAATTGTTTTTGAACATTTTTCAGTCCCTTTTTTCAATTTAGGACAATTACAATAAATATTTCAAAAAATTTTTGTCCCATTTTTATTTTATGAAATTCAACATTTTGGAGACTGTTCTGTTATGCTCTCAGGTACAACTGAATTTATTTTATATACAAAATTAATTTTTTTTTTAATCATTGATAATTTTTGTAAAAGACATTATTGAATTTGAAATTTCTTTAAATAAATTTGTATGATAAAGCTATTCATAATAATTAATTCTAAGATATACATATATACTTAATTTCTGTGCATATCTGATTACCACAATTATACTAGAAACATACATATACATACACACATACAGGCGAGGCGGCCCAGGACCTTCTCACCCAGACGGTGCGCGAGATGAATATGGATGTTGCAATACTCTGC